AAGCAACGCCACAGTCATCCCTATTGTCGTAACCGATCCAAATCACGAGATAGAGTTACATTGGTAACAGATCTAGTGATATTTGTTACTATATAAAAAATCGGTGATAATTCATTTAAGTGTAAACAACCCTGCAACTACTCATCAACATCACAGACAAATAGTCCGGAAAACCACTTACCGTCTCTCATTGACGACGGAGGGGACAAGGGGTGTAGCTGAGTCGTCTTTTCATCAGGACAAAGAATCGGCTACCCAATTTTAATAGATACGGGCAGAAATTTCTGTCATTCCTCCCTTGCCTGAAGATAAAAAACATCTCAAATTAGAACTCTTTGCTGCAAAATGGTACGAAAATTAAAACATATGGCCAAAAATTACTCAAGCTTGATCTTGGACTCAGACGATCATTCACATGGCCTTTTGTAATTGCGGACTAACAAATCGATAATAGGCATGGATTTTCTTGCAAATTTTAACCTTTTGGTAGATTCTAAAAATCGCAAGTTGATTGATGGTACTACATTCTTAACAACCAATGGAACTCCTTGTTTTCAAAATAACAATAATATATTCCGATTTTAAATGCCGTAAATGATCCATATAAAACGTATAATTAACGATTTTCCGGATTTGTTAAAACTTAATGTAGTTAATAATAAAGTTAAAAATCATAACATCGAACATTATATCGAAACCAGAGGTCCACCTGTTTTCGCTAAAGCCAGGAGACTGTCAGCTGAGAAACTTAAAGCGGCTAAAAAGGAGTTTGAATTTATGCTCCAAATGGGTTTATGCAGGCCATCCAAAAGTAACTGGTCGAGCCCACTACATCTCGCTATGAAGAAATCAGGTGATTGGAGACCTATCGAGCGTTAAACAACGTCACGATTCCTGATAGATACCCTCTCCCATTTTTAACAGATTGCAGTTCCATTTTAGCTGGAAAAAGAGTTTTCTCATCCATAGACCTCATTAGAGCGTACCAACAATTCCAGTTCGCGAAGAAGATATACGAAAACGACCATTCTCACTCCCTTTGGCTTATTCGAGTTCCCATTCATGACGTTCGGCCTACGAAATGCGGCCCAAAACGTTCCAACGTTTCATGAACAGTGTGCTGAATGGACTAGAATTCGTGTTTTGCTATTTGGATGACATTCTAATAGCCTCTCCAGATGAAGAAACTCATCGAAAACATATACGAGCAGTCCTCGAGAGACAAACGAATATGGCCTGTGTATTAATGCGGCCAAAGTGTAAATTTGGTCAAACAAAACTTGCATTCCTGGGATACGAAGTGTCAGCTGAAGGACTTAAACCTCTCTCAACGAAAGTTGATGACACCAAAAATTTCCCAGAACCAAAGTCATTTACTAGTTTAAGCGATTTTTAGTATGGTGAATTTTTATCACAGATTCATACCAAATTGTGCAAAAACGCAACAACCTTTAACAACATTGCTCAGTAGTATTAAAAAGAACTGCAGAAAAGAAATAACCTGGACGGCAGAAACAAGAAACGCCTTCAAGATCTTAAAGATGTACTTATTCATGCCACAAACTTAACTCACCCATCCGAAAAGACTGAAGTATCGCTAACAACTGATGTTTCCGATACTGCCATTGGAGCCGTTTTACATGAGATTGTGAAACCCTTAAGTTTCTTTTCCCGAAATTTGACACCAGCACAACAAAAATATTGTGCCTACGACAGAAAACTCTTAGCCATTTATGCAGCAGTGAAACATTTCAAATACATCTTAGAAGGGCGACCTTTTGTAATATACACGGATCACAAACCACTAACATTTGCCTTCCATCAAAATTTGGAAGCTTCGCCACGGCAAGCTAGGCCACTGTCATATATTAGCCAGTTCTCAACCGATATCCGATTCATACAAGGGGATGAAAATAACGTCACTGACGCTCTCTGTCGCATAGACACCATTTCTGTACCATCTGCAATAGACTTACAAATTATAGTAGACTGTCAAGAAGATGAAGATTTGGAGATACTGAAAAACAACCCAAACTTAAAGGTCCTACAGATTCCTATGCCAGACAGCAACAAGAAAATTTATTGTGATACTTCTAGAAATTATAATCGACCATACATCCCTGCAAATATTTTCATCAATCCATAATTTATGTTATCCTGGAATAAGATCCACAATAAAGTTGATAACATAACGTTTCATATGGTCCAATATGAATAAGGGCTGCCAACTATGGACTAGAGCATGTTTATCTTATCTTGCCAAAGATCTAAAGTCATCTTTGGGAGAAATCAAAGTACCTCTACACAGATTCAAGCATTTAAACATAGATCTGGTTGGTCTGCTACCTCCTTGTACAGGATTCAAATATCTTCTAACCATCATCGATCGTTATACATGATAGATCAAAGTGGTACCGTTAGAAGATCAATCAGCAGAATCTATTGCTAAAGCTTTGATTTATACTTGGTTTTCATGCTTTGGAATTCCAAATTGCATAACATCTGACCAAGGTCGGCAATTTGATAGCCAACTTTTTCAAGCTTTAAGAAGATATCTTGGTTTTCATACAAACACTACAACTGCGTACCATCCACAGGCAATGGCCTGTCGAAAGACAACACCGAACTTTAAAACAAGTCTCAAATGTCATCTACTCAAATCAAAATCATGGCTGGAAGCATTGCCTTTCGTTCTTTAGGCATAGATCTGCCATCAAGGACGACTTAGGTGCTCATCCGCAGAACTTGTGTACGGAACCCCTTAGCATTATCTGGTGAATTCTTTCAACAGTACCTCATATAAAACAGTCTGAATTTTCTCAAAACCTCAGAAAATAATAAGAGCTATGAAGCCATTCTACCACCACCCATGGAAATAGAACAGTCTTAGTTTCTAAAACATCTTTCCAACTGTTCTCACGTATTCCTATACAACAACATTAATAATTCGTTGAGACAGCCTGTCTATCTTGGGACCGTATCCTGTAAGATCAGAAAGGATAAGTACTTCGATATTGAAATCCAAGGAAAAGTTAAAAGAGTTTCAATAGACAGACAAAAGCCATGTTTCCTAGTGCAAGATTCTGATATTCCTTTTCAAAACTCCCATTCCAAGAAAGCGGAACTTGGGGAAACACCTGCACTCAAGAACACTGAAGAAAATTCCGAAACTCATCATAAAACCAAGACTACTAGAACCGACAAACATGTGAGGTTTCCCAGTCACTTTAAAGACTATCTTCCATAATCGCTGTCACTAGGAAGGGGGTGTGTAGTGTCGCTTCAGTTCCGTCAAGTTTCTAATTAAATTTAGTTAAAGCGGAATGGCAACACCTTCTAGTCTCCGCGAAGAACGAAGTAAACAAACTTCGAGTTTTTGTCACGCGATGCTACGTGCATGTAAAATGTAAATAAATCTTATGAATATATAACATCGTAAGGAATAAAATATTGGTTCCATTGGAGTCAGAGAAATGTTATTTTTCTATATTTGCACACCAGACACTTCAATTCATTCCTCTTTGAAAATTGTCTTAGAAAAGATAATAAAAATTAGACAGAGGATTTCTGTGTAGAAAATTCAGACATGAAATATGTTAAAAGTGATTAAATCAACTATTAAATGAATAATTAATCATATAATACTGGCTATTAATAATTTTGTATGCCTGTTTATTTCTTTTTATGGAAATACTTGGCATTTTCAGGACACAATGTATTTCAAAGAAGTTTGAAATATTAGTACAAACGCATTAATAAATTAAATTGAAATAAATAATGGGATGTAATTTAAAAGACGGAACTAATTTAATGTAAGAGATTTAGATTTAAAAATTTGCCCACACAAATGATTTATCAGATTTTATAAGGTGACTTTCATAAGGTTTTCTTTCATAAATAACTTTGATTTTGAAATATGACATTGAACCTATAAACATGTGGGGATACTGGAAAAGTGATGAATATATAAGAATATTATAATGTTCAGTAGTTCTTTTACTTAATAATAAATTCTGATAGTCTATGCTATAAGACTAGGGTCTAAGTTTGTATACAAATTTCAGTCAAGAATTTAAGTCAATACAATAATCAATGACGCGTAGATGAGTCTTCGCATAAACAAACGAAGCAGGATGCCAAGGTGCTAAAACAGTCAAGCTGCTGCTGGTCTAAGAGAAAAAAAGAAAGATATAATTAATTTGTAGAAAGTGAGCCGGGCCGAAGCCCGAACCAACGATCAGAAAGTCAGAAGTTTGTTGCTATGTTCTATCTACTTCGTGGATCGCGTTCCTTACTTTCTTCTTTCTTTTGCTTCCAGATTGTTGTCAGAAGCCGAGTAAAGAGATGTTTCTACATCACGACACTCGAGAATAAAATACGATCTGTGTTAGTTCTCAGACTCAAAGAACTGGATGAGTAACATTGTTGCCTGGAATCCAGTTTGTAATTTTTCAGATGAGTATTTCGAAGTTATAATTTTTTCGATGAAGGAGATGACAGATGTCAGGAATGCGTTAGTACTAGGGAAATTTCTGCTTCAAGAGTACACTCTTTTAACAACACTTTTTTAGAACTATTAGGCTGTAAAAGATTCTTCTTTGTGCCGTCACGATGTTCTTTTTTTTTCATAGCATAAATATGGGATATGTTGCATCAAGTTTGTGGAGAAACTTTGCCAACCTTGATGTTGAATAGAAATTTTAGGGAGGGTAAAGTTTGGATTATACAACTCACGGCGTGTTGAAAATATCCTCAGCTCATTATGTTTGTATCTTAAGACATAGAACACTTAGGGTCCTTATTAATTTGATTTTCTATGAACTCGTAACTATAGTTTTATGCTGAAATGTATTTGTTTTTCGAACTTTGAGGATTTCTGTCCAACCAAAGAATCTCTAGAATCTTCCTTAGAGATTCTTTGCAACTGTCTCAACCCCCTCTAAAGTAGTATTTCATTTTAGAATTTGGCAACATATTATGACAGGGCATTAGGTAAAATATATAAATAAAAAAACAAATCAGAGTTTGTTGGTATGTTGAATGTAGCTTGTGATTAACGCGGAACTTGTTATCATGAATGAGTAATTTATGTTGGGGACAATACTGCTTGAATAGGTTTTGAAGTACACGTGTTTTTGTGTTAACGACAGAGAACTGGCGTTTTATCTACACGCGCTGTTATCCATAGTTAATAATTTGTGTCTGAATGGATCAAACGTGTCAAAGATGAAATGTTTGTATTGAACTTCAACCATTACATTTATTTGTGTAACTCATTGTTTATACTAGTTCGGATGCTTTAATTCAAGTATTTTTAGATAGAAGGTTATAGTGTATATATACGTGACAGGAGTATATTTTACTTCAAATTGTAATGCTGAACTGTAATGAAAATTGACTTCTTATAATTTGTGATTCAGTGTGCTAAAATTGTAAAATCTGTACTGTGTTGCTTCAAATCTATTCTGTTTTATAAAATCATTATATTTTTGTGAATATTTATTAGATATTCACAGCATAAATCCTCTTGCATAATATGGAAAAATATGTAGATTGCATTAGATTTTCATTTCAGCTTTCTGTATTTTGTAGCGAAAGTTCTATAAGATTGAAAAATTTTTTATGCTTTTTTTTTTTAGATTAGCCCTATAGTTAAAAAACATTTTTTGGTTGATTGTAACATAAATATTTTTTTTGAACATAATAACTAAAATTTTATTATGAATTTTTCTATTTTTAAAACAACTTTTAAGTATACTTTTTCTTTCTCCTCATTTCTTAGAAAAATAAATAGCTAGATCAAGTGAGTTTTCGATGCCAGTGATTTAATAAACGCTGTTATAGTTTTTCTCAGACTCTTATGCACAAAAAAGTGTATCCAAGTTTAATCTTACTCATGTTTATTATAAGAATGCTTTTGCAGATTTTATTTCCTTCTGTTCTAAATCAAATCTTTCTCTTTTAAGAGCATTATAAAATGTTTAAGAGTTCCTAGTCATACCACCAAAATTCCTTGAAACAATATGGGGGGAAAAAAAAAGCTTCTTTATTAATAGCAAGATTGTCATAAAGAATTTGGTTAGTTAACTTTGTAAATCTTTGTTTTATAAGTATTATTTAAAAAGGGAAAATAAAATCCACTATTGAAGTTTACAATTGGGTGCCCCTAGTTTTTTGGCAATTCTTTTTTGATGTCAAGATTGGTGTCAGTAAGACACAATTTCAAGATGGCCGCTACACAAAACCAAAATAAGAAGTCAAAAATTGCATAAATTCTGTGTCCATGTACACATTGATCTGTTTTCACTTAAAAAAAATCACAGAATTGCACAAAATAAGCATTGCGCACTGCTTTAAATTTGTCCATGTACACATCAATCTATTTTTATTAAAAAAAAAAAAAAAAAAAAATCAGGAGGCTAAAGCAAAACTATCATAGTAACCAGAAATGCGATTTCATCGCCAAAATTTTGCAAAAAATTGTCGCTAATCGAAGGGGCACCCAATTCTTAGACTAGAGATTCTACACTAGAGCACCACTATTCATTAGAAATCCGCATAAACTGAGTTAATATGAAAATTTTTGCGTATTTTCCTCTTATAATTTTATTTTTAAGAAAAAATTTATTTTTTCCCTGTTATTTACTTTTGAAAAAAAAAAAAAAAATTTTTTTTGAATACGTAAGTAATGGTTTTTTTGTACTGTGTAAATTAAAAGTACTCATCAGAGGGACAAATAAAGATGGTTGGTTTGGAAAGTTTTGTTGCAGGATTGTTCAAACTGTATATTACATTATTTTTGATGGTATAATTTTTACACAAAAGATTTAACCCTCTGGATGGCTCGGGTTGTTTGATCCGTCATAAAGACCAGTGTTTAAAGGTCCTTTATTAGCTAATTCTGTAATTTACTTACTTTAGACTTTATTTTCATAAACTTTTATTTATTAAGATGACATTTATATTATTATAGAAAGTAAGAATACCGGATAAAGCCGGCCATGGTGCTCAAAGAGTTAAATTAATGTAAATGGTATACTTTTTGGTGCATAAGGTATGATGATACATATGTTTTTTATTCTTATTTATAAGGTACAAAATTTAAAAACTTTGAGATACCCTGAATATTGTGGGTTACATAAATATGTTGATTTGAAATATGATGAAATTTGGGTTGATCTTTAGATTATGGTAACTTGGAGATTTTTTGGCGACCAACTCTCCTACAGCAACCCTCTATTTTTTTTTTCCCCGCCGCCATTTTGTCTTCACGAAGTAAAGACATGTTTCTTTGCTTTTTATCTACTGAACACTTCTTCCAACAATCTACTACCAAATTACCTTATGCTAGAAATTTTATCTAACAAACTGCTTAATCATGACAAATATTCACTGCAAAATTGGGAAAAGTGCACATACCATACTCCTTACGCGTTTTTCAAATAACACCTACACATAAACCATGTACACGTCGACTTATTTTTTACTTAAAAAACATCCCGAATTAACAAAAATGACTTGCGCACACTCTTCACTATATCCAGTACACTGCTTTTTTTATAATTAAAAAATTTCACGAAAATACATGACATTTTCTGAATCTTAAACCCGTTTAAAAAACATATATGAAATTACCTGATCGCGAAAAAGTATATAACTTTCCAAATGAACATTCCACATAAATAATAAAATATCCAAAAACTTTTACCTCTAAATCATCTATATATTATAAACGTCACCAACTAATTCATACAATACGCAAGCAACAATACTTAGTGTCAATTTAATTATTTCATGCAACTCAACTAAATGTATACCAAATCCTACAAACAATTCACAAAAACTATCAGTTTAATTAAAATACTTAAAATATAAATAGCACATACATTAAATTTAAAAACTTACTTTTCCTAATACTTTAAACTAAATCATTGCTAATAAAATGGACCCAATACCAAATTACTTCTCACCTTACATTTAGACTTCATAAAAATATCCAAATAATAAAATACTACTACAATTTTCTTCAGAATCTTGATTACTGTGCGATAAACTTTTCTTATTTATCCGCTAAATAAAAACAACTATGTGCCGCCTGTTTCATGATCTTTAAAAATCATACTTATTGTTCACAGCAAGGTACCAGTACAAATAAATAACTTAATAAACATCTACTTCTATCTCGCACAACTTAAAGAAACACTTATTACTAACCCCTGTCAATCCCACTAAATATCCGCTTTTCGAATTCACTTTAGTTAGGCCTGGGATCCAAAATTAACAACACGTTTCACACAACACAGAATAAAGCCAAATACAAAATTTCCAGATTTTTTTCTGATTTCCCCCCTTTTCCGATTAAAGAACCATAATTCGTCCATTAATATCACATGACATATCCCATGATCTCTCATTTCCCTCACGCAAAATAATGCGTAATCGGAACTGAGTACTGCTCACATTATTACCAAAGTCCCAGGTAGTAACCTTTATCACCTCCAAAATGTCGCCAAGCTACCAGTTACCATATTCTAAAGTTCAGCTGAAATTTGAAATACCCTGAATATTGTGGGTTACATAAATATGTTGATTTGAAATATGATGAAATTTTAGATACCCTGAATATTGTGGGTTACATAAATATGTTGATGGTTCCAAAATATTCTCTAGAGAAATTTACTGGAGCCAGATTTTTATTCTGATCTGGATGGTTAATCTTTGGATTATGGTAACTTGGCGATTTTTTGGCGACCAACCCTGCTACAGCAACCTGCTAGTTTTGTTTTGGACGCCATTTTGTTTTCACGAAGTAAAGGCATGGTTTTTTTTTTTTTTTTTTTTTTTTTTTTTTTAACTCAACATTTTTTTCATTATCTCTAGCCGATTCGCTATGCTAGAACTTTTATGGACAAAAGTGCTTAATCATGACGAAGATTTAGGTGCGAAATTGGGAGAAAGTGCAGAGTCGTCCACTGCTTGGCGCGTTTAGAAGAATTGCAGATACTCGGTATCCATGTACACGTCAACCTATTTTAATTTAAAAAACATCCCAGAATTGCACAAAAATGGCATTGCGCATACTCTTGACTTTATCCATGTACACTGCTAAAGTCCTAAGCTAGTAGTAACCTTTATCGCCTTACCAAAATGTTGCCAAACTACCTGTTACCATATTCCAAAGATTAGCCCTGATCTGTTTTCATTTTATTTTCTCCTTGGCCCAAATAGTATAAGTTGTGGTAGAGAGGTTGAAGTAATTAAACTTTGGAGAGGTAGTATTCAGTCTACTGCTTTAATTAGTTATTTATTTCTTAGATTGTACTTCTAAAATGCTCTTGTTAAACATGGATATAAATAATTAATGCTCAAATGAAAATGATTCCATTAATTAATTTAACGACCTATTAAACTTTATTTCTGTTAATTTTAAATTCCTTCAAGTTTTGCGAAGCAAAAGCAGTAGGGCATTTTTTATGAATCGTGCAGCATGGCCAAAAAACAAAAAGTGATTAGTTTTATTAATTGACTTTTTCCATGCTTCAGGGAGATAATGTGGAAGCATTTTCAGTGTGCTACTCTGCATGCCATGTTTAACATTGAGCTTCAAAATCATCCAGCATGAGTCAAATGTTTGAGTATTGGTATTGTTTGCAGGATTGATAAGAACTTTTTCAATCCTGCAGGTGGTAGTAAAAGAAATGATTAAAACAACCAGTTTTAGTGGCACCACCTAAAGAATAAGTAACTAAAAACCATAGATTGCATGCTATACCATTACCTAAACATCTTTTCTTGTAGCTTATTCTTAGAATCAGGTAATTAAAAAAAGTTTTTCTCACTCACTGTAGCTAGTATCCAGGCAGCCTAACTGAGTACACCAGACCTGAGAAGATTCATTTTTGTTGAGTAAATCTAAAATACTAAATGTCTACTGGAAAAACAATTGTCCTGCAATGTATACCAACCCCCTGGGGATCTGAGGATAATAAAGTGACATATCTGCTTGTGAAAAAGTACTTTTTTTTTTTTTTTTTTTTTAAGTATTTTATAATTTTATACTTCGCAATAATTGGTGGAAAAAAAAAAAAAAAGAGGCATTTTTAACTGACGTTTCTCTAACGAAATAGTACCGATGATGGGGCTTATAACTGCATAAAAGTTCTAAGACAATTAGGGATTGAACCAGGCCATTATATGAAATAATCATTATAAAAAATGATGATTCTTGAGTTCTAGAAGCTTTCTTGTTTCCAAAAACTTTCTAAATCAGCCAGAGTGAAAAATAAAATGAAAAAATGGAGAAAAATTGATGCAGAAAGGTTATAACAAAATGATTATGGTGCTGGAAGGTCTTAAAATAGTACATTTTAAGAATTATCACAACGTGTACAGTTTTTGCCCTTTTTTATTAGAATGTGTTTTTTTTTTAATGCCTTGGTACACTTTTCTAAACAAATTATTTCAGGTGAGTGTTTAAACTTTCCCAAATTGTACAACTAACTTGTTTCTTTAAAAATACATAACATTATAAATCCGAGCAGAAAAATTTTGAAAATAATGAAAGACATGTTCTTAAAATTTTGGGGATTTTCCAAGTTTTTTAATAAAATTTTTTAAATTTAATTTTTTTAGCTAAAATGAACGTCGTTTCTTATTACTCTCAAACATTATATTTTCTGCTACCATACCAAGTTTTAAAATTAGACACGCAATAGTTTTTTTTAGAAATGTGTACCAAACAGATAAATTTTCCAAAAAAATTCATCTCGTTACATAAAAGTTAATTAGCTGTTTTAAGTTCATTTATGCAGCTAATTAATTTCTTTTTATTTTTATACATGAGCTGAGTATATTTGTGTGAAAAACAATATCAGTTATATCTGTATTTTTAAATAAAATGCACGTTATCGAATCTTTTGCAAAAACTTCGTTTTTCTGTCGAGATATTCCATGTACTCTTGATGGCAATGGATATTTTAATTCTTTGTTTTTTATACAAGAAGTGTTTTTGTTTTGTAATTTGTAATGCTTTGCATAAAACAAAATGTTAAATAAAACTATGCTGTTACAGATTTATAGAAAGGCCCACCAGTGGCCAAGTGGTAAAGTCGCTGAACACTGGTAGTTTGGTCTCAGGTTCGAATCCCACGAACGGGCTGGCTGCATGGGCGTTTTCATGCTTTTCCCTATTGTAATGTATATACGAGCCAGTTTCCCTTTGAAAGTCCTCCAAGAAGGCATCCCTCTCCTTTGGCAGATAGCCCTCTAGGCTTTGCCAAAATCACACAAACCAAAATCAGATAAAAAAAAAAATAGAACTTTCTTCTCGTGTATTAATTTATTGACACTCATGTACATTCATAAGAATCAATAGATTTTTACATACCTCAAAGAAATCTCTTGCAGGCATTTATTGTTTTCTGTTTATTAATTTCTCATCCTGCCAAAGTAGACAATATTACCACTTAAAATATTTGCAGCCTTTTTTAAATGAAAACCAGTGAACTAAACCCATCACTACATTTTGTATAGTTAAACTTTTCTTTATTAACTTCCTGAATGGCATGACTGCCTTTATCTAGTCAAACGATTTTCTGTTTCTTGATGTACATATGAGCTTATAATTAAAATATTTTGTTGTCTCTAATATACTAAGCCATTGGGAAAATTCTGCAGTTTTTTTTAAATTCAAGCACAATTTCTTCCAATTATTTTGTTATTGTTGATAAGAAGTGTTGTTCTAGCATGTGTTGTGGCATAATTATTTCATTAAAATGCTAAGAATGGGGGACCTGAAAGTTTGTTTCACCATATAATGCTCCTTTATTTTTAAAAAGGAAGAAATGCTAGCCTAACTGCTCATAACATTTGTACAGTATAGGAACAAAGTACTCTTTCTGATGATGTAGATTGAAGAATGTTTGAGATAGATAAGGGCAGAAATTTCAGCCTTAGAGATGATGCCTGCTTTGGATGGTCATCTTTTGTAAACAAGGGCTATTGAAAGATGCAATTGTTGAAAATCCATGTAATACAGTTCAGAACTTCCAGAGAGACTGTAAGCCATTACAATGCATTGGTACCCTATATTCTAACAAAGCAGAATGTGCTTGCTCAAGTATTGACATGTGATTTTTTGCTGGAAAGAAAAAAAGAAACTTCTTTTTTGAAATGACCAAAAATGTAATGCTTTGTGTATGAGAGTAAAGGAACTCTGAATTATTGCCACTAATTCAGATAATAAATTCAGGAAAATGCTGTTCCCAAATAACAGTTTAAAAAACAAATCAATGCAAAGCACCCGTAATGATCAATTCTCGAGATGTCGTCTTCCCATCATGACAACCCACATATCGATAAAATGTCAGACAAAAGGCTTATTGAGTATAACTGAGATGTTTTGTGTCACCTCCCTTCCCCAGTGTTCACCCAGCCTTTCCCTTCAGTGATTTCTTCAGATCATTTAAAAAATTTACTGAACAGCCTGGAGTTTACTTCTTTGAAGATGGTCAAACAGTATCTGGAAATTTTTTACTAATAAACCTAATAATTTTTTAAGAAAAATTGTGAAGCTGCCAGAGATTGCAAAAAAGTCATAGAACAAAGAGATGTGTATGTGATTCAATGAAATTTTATTCTGTTCTTCTACTGCTTCATTTGTATTTATCATAAAAAAGCTGTAGAATTTTTCAGAAGATCCAATAATTGTAGCAGATTGATATTTCAGAATGAAATTAATTGTAAAGAAGTGTCTTTGAAGTGCAACTGCAAAATAAGATCTATACGAAAGGAAAATTATTTAAAATTATTTTTTGCATGAACTGGGCTTATTTAGTGAAAATAATCATTTTATAAAGGGCAGTGTGAAAAAGAGTATAATTTTTAATTTAATTTCGAAAATCATTTGGCGTTTGAGTGTTGATTTACATATTGCTATAACATACATTTCGGTATTACTCTGCTATTACTTCTCTGCATTTCAGATTTATCTTTTAGGTTTTGCTTTATTTTTTCTTATATTGTTTTTATCCTCAAAAATCATATATGTGAAAATTTTTCTGCATTCCCTGCATGTAAAATGACTAGCTGATGCTCAGCTGGCTATTTAAATATGTTTTTCAGCTTCATATTTTAATTTGCAGTTATAGGTATAGCTTAAACAGTTTATGTTATATTTTAAGTAATGAACACCTATTGAAACTTGTTAAAAATACAATTTTTTTTCTTTTTTAGGTGTGATTTCATTAATGTTACTTAGAATGTTCTGTAAGTTATGGCAACCGACATCAGTGATATTGTAAAACAAGGCTATCTCAGAATTCGAAGTCGTAAGCTTGGTGTAAGTATTCAGCATATTTACTTGAATTGTGATTTTTTACACACTGTATCCACAAAGTCCTTACCCAACCTTTGTTTACACAATCATTGGTTGTAGACATATACATCCAGTTTTAAAAATGTTTTAAATGGTCTAAAGATTCATGTTTTCATATTTTTAAATTAAAGAAAAATTGATTATTCTTCCAGTTCCTATACTTATATTTAGGTAAAATTTGTGCTTATTACAAAAAATAAAAGACAAGAGGTTTGATTCCCGTAGGACAAAAATTTGCGGAGATATTTGATATGAAAATCAAGAATCATATTCAGGAGCTGTACACAAATTGAAAAGCGAAATGTGTGTGTGTATGTAACTATAAATAAAATATCATTTAAATAAATATTTCGACTGTTAAGAGATCGTATGATAAGCATTTTTATACAAATTATTGTGAAAATGCAGATCAATGTAACCAGTTACAGATCAGCATGATATATATATATATATATATATATATATATATATATTTTAATGGGGATCTTATTCACAGAATTTCCATTAAATTCATGTTCTGAACACTGGCAACCTTTAAGATGAAAAATGCTGGCAGAACCCTGGCAGGCTTCGTTATGGGCATATAGACATTATGGGCATTTGCAGTAATTAAAAATGAAAAATATTTATAATTTTATGAATTTTTTGTATGATTATGAGATCATGATTCTAAAGTGATAAAAATTCATCATAATATTAATAACGTATTTTTAAGATTCGTAAAAATATGAATGATTTATGTGAAAATTCTTTAGGTATACCAAATTTAATAAAATAGTAAAATTATACATTTAAGACACTAAATCACAAAGCAGTATCATTAATGACATTCAAGGGGAAAAATCAACCTAAGTTTATTTTAATTTATTTAATAACTGATTCCTTAATACAAATTAAATATTACATAAAAAATAATGGATTTCAAAATTAAATATATTAATTCTCACTATTAATAACTGTCTACAAATAAATATAAGAAAAGGCTACCGTGGTAAGTGGATTCTCATTTTTAGTGACAATCAATTTTTATCATATGGAAGTCATCATTTTTAGTGACAATCAATTTTTATCATATGGAAGTCAAAACCTTTTGTGTTTTGTGTGACAATGAATATAAAACTTTTTAAATATAAGTGTAAGGACTGGAGAGTTGTATAAAACTTAGATTTCATAATATTTACTAAATTCATGTCTTCAAATTTTAAAATACCAAATCTTTGAATCATTTAAAACGTTTTTGTAATTGGAAGTATATGTCTGTGACTAACAGTTATGAAGCCAAAAATGATATTTTGGGTGTATACGGAAATTATCAGACCTATTATTACTTATGCCTTTGTGATCTGGTGGTGCAAGGTTGAGCAGAGAACTGTGAATGACAAGCTAGGAAGTCTGCCAAGATTGGCCTGCCTGTGTATCACAGGTGCAATGCCCTCAGCACCTACCAGAGCATTAGAGATCATATTAGATCTAATTTCCTGGGACATTTTCATTTGCAGTATTGCCAGAGTGATTGCATATAGAATGATGCTGCAAAATCAGTGGTGTCTACTGCTAAAGGTCATATCAATATTACTAAGAAAATTCATGATCTTACTGGAAATGACTTGCATGTTTGACAGGCCATTCGAAGTAGTTTTTCCTGCTAGAAATAAATAAAATGACAACATGTTCAATTTAAATACTGATAATCTAATTTGGTTGACAGACGGATTAAAAAAAAGATGGCCTTTCAGAACTGGGAGTACATGGTGTATATCCATAATTAATCTCTTTGGAGTTATTGGGGGATATGCACTCTCTTCTAGGCAAAAGTTCTTACTATTAATAACTGTCTGCAAATAAATATAAGAAAAGGCTACCGTGGTAAGTGGATTCTCATTTTTAGTGACAATCAAGCAGCGCTTAAGGCTTTATACTTATTTAAACTAAATCAAAGATTGTTTTGGAATGCAGAAACCTTCTATGAGAATTGGCAACCAGAAACAAGATAATACTAATCTGGGTACCAGGACATAAGGGATGATAAGGCAGATAAACTTACAAAACGGAGATCATTCCAACAGGTGTGGAACCCTTCTGTAGTATCATTATGAAAACTCCCAAGAGTGTCCTCCTTAAATGGGAAAAACAGAAGATGAATAGAGTTTGGCTTGATTCTTCTGGACAAAAACATGCTGAAAGTGGGATTATCAGACCTTCTGCTAAGATTGCCTCTAAAATTCTTAGGTGCTCAAGACTGAAGATACAAATAATTGTGGGCTTCATCATGGGCTACTACTATTTCAGGAAACTCATTTATACTATGGGACTTTTTCAACAAGACCCTTTATGCAGGAAATATTTAAAAATGAGGAAATAGCACACCATATTATATATGAGTGTGATGCTCTTACTCTAACTTGCTTGACTACTTTAGGATTTCTCAATACTAAAGAGTTACACCTAAGCTCTATTAAAGGTTGTCAGACTTTATAAACAAAGTGGGTGACCCATACAGGTGGAGCTAGGAAGCATTGGGTTAGGTGTGTTCAGTATAGAATGCTATTAGCAGAGGTGCCTGATACCTGACAAACTCAACCTAAACAAGAAGAGCAGTTATGAAAGTAAAGGACAGTTAAGGACTTTTGTGGACATGATGTATATTTCAGAACATGGATCTTGAATTATAAGAATATTTGCGAGTTCATAACGATTGATACAATCTCTTTTTCTGGATCAATAATCTTGTGGTCGCATAACTCATGTATACATTTCTCACTTCATTTCTCTCTGAGGTTATGGCCCTCTCTACCGTCCTCAGAATCTTTATGTATCGTCTCTCCCTCCCTCGAGCGACCTGTCAAATGGTGCGCTTCTCGGCCAAGGGGATACGAGACCTTAGGTCGACAGAGTTTGATGTCCAATACGACCAAGTAAGAGCAAGTGGGTGATCTACCCAGAAGGGTTTATGAAAGAGCTGAGGAGCTCTTCCTGAGCTAGGAGTCTTATCAGTCTGCTGTTGCACTCATTCCCTCTCTTATTTTTGTTTTTTAGTTTTATTATTAAAGCACTTTTTCCATTTATGCTATGTAGAAATCAACAGCAAAAGTATAAAATTTTAAATACATTTATATATACATTTTTTAGTCTTTTATCAATTGTGTCAATATTCAGTTTTCTTAGTAAGATGGCATACAAAACTTTTGTCTTTTTATTATTAATGTTTCATGTGTTAACTTTATTAAATGTCATGTTCTTCACACTTTTGACACGTAAAATTCAAATCAAATTCAAAAGCAAAATATTTTAAACAGCATATCTTCAGATTTCATTCTTGCATGCTGGAGATATCCATACAGTATTGCCACTCTCACTTTCAAATCATTGAGTTTGTTAATCTAAAATTAATTGGAAGTTTTACAAGCTTTGAAATAAATATTAAAAATATACCTCACTTCATTTGTGAACATACTGAATATTTTTAATTGGAAAGATGATGAATTAAAGGCAGTTTTGTTAAGTCAGCCGGCTTGAAAAAGAAGAAACAAGTATTCTTAAGAACTGCATCTGTTGTTTTAAAATAGCTTAGTTTGTTAATCCGCAACAGAAAACTTCAGTTTGAAAGACAAATATCCTAGTTTTTGCTAAATGGCAAAAGACTTGCAAAGTGAAATGACTTACTTAGTGATTTGATGCAAAATGTCATTTCAAGACTAATAGTCAGTTCGCCTAATAAAGTGTTTTTTATATTTGCTGTCTAACAAGGAACAGGGCTGGTACTTGTAATCTGGAACCAGAAGTTATAATGGGTGCTCAAGATGTGAGTAGTAGCTGCTTTTGCTTTACAGTAATTTTTCTTTTTCAGCACTTCCTAGCTATTGCTTACATTGTGCCTACCTTAACTTCTGATTCTGGATAACTTTAAATCCCTGATCATTTTTGAGAACTATTAAAATTTGCAGAAGAGTGAATCGTATGTAAAATGAAGATGTCAAACATGAACTAAAATTTTTGAGTTTAAATAAAAAAATAATAGCAAAAAGTGAGGAAAATTCCTTGCAGAACATTCCTTGCAGTAATATCTAGTAGGTTTAAGAGAAAAATCTCTTTATTTTTGCTCTAAAGTAAAATTTGTTTGAAACCTGAGAAAAAAGTGTTCTTTTGATGCCAGAACTGGTTTAAAGCTTAATTCTTGATGATGATGATGACATTTTATATTAAAAAAAAAGGAAATGTAGGAAATCTAAAATAGTTGTATTTGTGAATAATTTTTGTTTTTAGTTGATTTTTTTTTGCCTCTGTATGTGGTTAAGTTCCCTTTGAACAATATGTATGAGATGCAGTGCATTGATTTTTATGAATTGTTGCTGGTTATATTATTTCTTGCATGTATTTTACCATCGATTGTCAACACAAAACATTCATGATTGTCTAAACAAATGCACCATGTAGTTATAGTTCTGTACTATGCAAATATTATTTCTGTATTACATAGCTATAAGAAAAACCATAAGGAAAATATAGTATGAGGTGTCCCAAAATGTTTAATTACTTTTAAACTTTTTGACATTAATCATAACTTTTGGCATATACTAATATCACCTACCATGTTTTTTGTCGGCTCTGAAGAGTATTTAGTATTTCCTTATTATTGCAGCCCCCAGAATTTAATCATTAATCAACCGAGATGTAACATGTAATGAGGTATAAGAATATGTGGCGAGATTTCGGCGAGGTATCTCAAATGATTAGCAATTCATTATTGGGGGTCAAAGTACTGAATATTCTTATTTAGTAATCTGGTATAACCCATAGATTCTACTATCAAAGCAAGTTGACGAAATGTCAGATAGAAACATGTTCCACAATGAAGGATGATTTAAAATGTTCACCTGCATAGTCCATAGAGACTTTTTTAATTGAGGATTTGTAAAGGTTGAAATGTATTTTCTTTTTCTCTTTGTAGCATTTTGAAACATTTATAATAATTTTTCTTTTGTACGTTTTTGAAATTTAATTCAAAAAAACTTATTTAAATATCCAGTAGAAGCCAATATCTGTGAAACATTTTATTTATTACGAGTTAAAAATATTTTTTGATTAATTATAAAAACAGAGACAGCTAAATGTTACGCATGAGCCATTTGTTTGATTTGGATGTGTTTGATGTAACAAAATATTATTTTTCATGCCAGTTTTTATTTTAAGAGAGGAGGGAAATTCATTCGTAGCTATTTTGTGACATTTTTAAAATTATTATTTGTTAGCTGTGGCAGAGAAGATGGATTGTACTAAGGCGAGCATCAAGTAAAGCACCCTGCAGACTGGAAAAATATATTGATGAAAAAGCTGCTCGCTCTGTTACTGGCCATAAAATAGCTCTTCTTACATCTGTAAGCACAGTATGTAGAGTTCCAAGCAGTGTAAAGAAACATGCTTTTACGATCTGTTTTCTGGATTGTACCACAAAATGTTTTGCATGTGATTCTGGTAAGTTTTTTTTAAAAAGAGTGTGATGTGAAATTTGTGAGTTGAATCTTTATAATTCTGAATTTTGTAATTTTCTTCCTGAAAGGCAATGCTTTGTTAAGTGTATAATAGATTTTAGAAATCAGTGTTTTCTTTGATATGTAAACATTTTTGGATAATTAATTATCTAATGTGTATTATACATTACTTTTATGTTGATCGGTTAATTATATATAATTTTAGAAATTTATGTTATGGTTTGTGTTGATGACTACTGGTAACAGTTTATTAGTTTTCAGGTAGCAAAGATATCAGTTGTATATTCCAATTTTAACTAAGGTTATGATGAATGTCTGATGCATAAACTTGGAAGAACTTTGACTAATCGTCAGCCTGAGATTCATTAAATTCATTAAGACTACCTTAAATTTTGTCGTGGAATAATTTTGGATGATAAAGATTGCAACTTTTTTTTTTTTTTTAAATGTTGGGGGAAGAGAATGAAAGTGTTAGCAGGTTAGCTAAAATGCTGAAATTTTGTGCCTTTTTAACATAATGAACGTCTTTTGAAATATGTATCAGCAAATGGTAAACAAAAGGAAATGTAAAATTCCTTTTTCAATGCCTGAAATTAATTTTTTTGGGGGAATTTAAAATTTTTAAGCATTATTTTCTGTTTCCAAAGTATTTTTGAATAGCATATGTATTACAGCAACTGATACTTATTGGTTATACTAAATCACATAATCTTAACAATAATTACTTTGGGGTCAAAGGAAAAAAACCCAAGTGAGTACAAAAGATGAAAATAAACAGCACAGTAATTCGGAAAACTTGAATTTACTTTAAAAGAATTATAATGTTCATAAAGCTTACATTTTTCTTATTGCACATAGTTGTACAAAATGTAAGTCATACTAGAAGGTTATAGTGGAAACAATAAATTGTTGACAGCATATGTTGCAAAACCAGTGAAGGTTTTTTTAAAAATGTTTGAAATTAGAATTACAAAAACTTAAATAGAGGTAATTACAAACAGCGTGACTGATAACTTAATAATATAAGCTTCGTCGGAAAGAATATTTGATGTAGTAGTAGATGATTACTGTTGCATAAAATGATTTTGGTAAGTATTACCTAAATTTCAGTGCAAGTGTTTTGTTGTCAAAAAAATTCTTGATACCAAGAATATGTGACCAGATATAACTGATAAATACTTAGCAAATCAGAGAGTTAAGTGGTTCAATGCTATGCTAAAATTAATTATCAGTGAGTATTCTTAAGAAAAAATTACTAAATTTGCTTTTGTTACAAGTAGGCAATTTTGTTTTCTTTGAAGCTTTACATTAATTTAAACAGAAATAAATTTTTCTATTAGTAAATGAAGATGAAACTTCAGATGTAATGTAATGGAAGATGAAACTTCAGGTATAACGTAATGATATTTACGTTATACCTGACCTTTTTAATGTACAGCATTAAAAATATATTGTTGTTTTGACAAATTCACCTGATCAAACATAGTCTAGATCAGATCCATGAATTCAGTGTGGCCAAAAGGGAAAATTTTGTGAATATTGTTGGCGTATGTCTTGGCAACTTACAGATGACAACATCAATCTGCCTAGCTCAATCCCATTTCTATTGGAGGTCACTCCTTAGAATAGCTCTTGTACCACTCTTTACCTACTACTAAAAACTTGAGAGGTCAACAATATTTTAACACTAGAATTATGGAAGGGGTCATTTTGACACCTAGTGAACTTTTATCTCCAACAGCTCTTCTTTTTTTCGCAAATATCTTAATTTTTTCTCGACTTTTCCTAAATCATTGTGATTTATGAAATAGTAAAGATTTCAAGAAAATCATATTTTTATTTTAGCCCCAACAAATGATTATACCTAGAAATACAGCAGGTGTCATTTTGACCCCTTTGAGAGAAAAGAAATGTGAATACATTTCATTGTATTATCTGAACACTGTTACTTCTGTAAACTATTTTTATTTGCACCTGCTAAACAAAATAAAAACAAAGGAAAAGAATATGGTGGGTCTGGGTAGTTTCACATCTGCCAGTCACATGATTTGAAATATGTGCGATACTTTCCTTTGTGGAATGAAATCAGAGAAAAGAGAGTATTAGGAGTTGAACGTTTGTAGATTTTTCATAGATATTTTGTTTATTATTCATAACAAGTTTTAGTGAAAAATTTTATTCTATTTACATGAATTTATTATAGTGATATACTAATGGCGTACTAATGGCACGTAGAAAAGGACTAACGCATGAAGAAATCTGGGAAACCGATGCAAGAACTATCTGATGCGAATTCCGGTTCTGAAATTGAAAATAATTCTACAGATAAAGATGGAAGATGAAAACATCTTGTGATTCTGAATTTATTATAGAGAGTAATCCGGCAATATCATCCTCTAGCTCAAGTGAAAGTACAAATGGATTTGTTTCTACGAGTTCAAATTCTGTCGTACCTAAGAATGCCAGAGCGGGAACTAGTAGATGCTCAAAAGGGAATATGAAATTCAATGTAATTCAGACTAACACTTGTAAAGAAATTGCTAGTGATGGAACTGTATGGAAAGTAGAAAATACTTCTGGTCGGCGACCCTTGCAAAATATCTTGCGAGAAAATGCAGGACCGACATCCTGTGCTAAACATCACATTTGTTCTGGTGCGGGGAAGTTAATAATAAATGAAAAAATTTTACGCGTCATAAAGGAGTGTACTGATGCTGAAGCCAAGCGTAAACTTCATGATGATTCTTTCACTATTTTATTAGCAGAACTGGAAGCATTCATAGCGTTGTTGTACGTAAGGGGGGCATTAGCTGCCAAGGGCTTACCAATTCTTAGTTTGTGGTCCAAGACTTGGGGACCAAAGGTTTTTCATGAAACTATGAAAAAAAGAGAAATTCCCTCTAGTTTCAAAAACGTAAAAAAAAAACTTTTTTCTTCAGTTGTGATGAAACAGGACTATATAACACTTACATCATATCAAGGTAAAAGGAACAAAAACATAATTTTATTAAGTACACTCCATTCATCAGTTGAATTTGAAACTAATGAAAAGAAGGTTCCTGATGTAATACAGTTTTAGAATTCTACAAAATTCGGGGTAGATGTTTTGGATCAAATGGCAAGAAAGTACTCCGTGAAAGCACCATCACGTCGTTGGCCAGTACATGTGTTCTACAATATTTTGGACTTAGCAGGCATAAGTGCGGGGATTCTGTATAAGGAAGTTACAAAAGAAAATATCAGCAGAAGGGATTTTCTATTGTGTTTGGCAGAAGAACTAATAGAAGAATATATATCTAGTAAAAACAAATTTGTTCTCTCTTCAAGTGGCTTTGTGGATGGATAAGATTCAATAGAATTAAAAAAAAAAAAAAAAAAAAAAAAAAAAAAGGAAGGAAGAAATGTCAAGTAAGGAAATGCAAAGGTAACAAAGCTTCTAATATTTGCGACAACTGTAATAAATATGTATGCGGATATTGTACACAAAAAATCAAAGATAAGCATGTGTACTAATTGCTGCGTTGACTAATATATTATCTGTGAATAAAATATTTCTATATATTTCTATTTCTATGTACTCTTTATAGCAAAAAGTTTGTTTTAAAGTACTTTAATATTTGGATTAAAAACCACTTTTTTTGGAAAAGATTTTGTAAATGTTTATACATTTTATTTTCTGTGTTTCTGAAATGTAAGCTATCAGGAAGGGGTAGGGGAAATTACATTTTCTGATGCAAATATTTAAATGCTTGTTTATTATTTGACTACATACCTGCAAAGTCTCTATATTCTTTAAGATAAACAGTTGTCATAATTTGCGTTATTTTAATTTCTTTTTCACAAATATATTATATCATATAGAGAAATATGCCAATATTTTATCAATTGGTCAAAATGACACCGTAATTCTAGGTATGCGAAGACCACTGTAATTCTAGTGTTAAGTGCCACCATGCTATAAAGGCAATGTGTCTTAAACATTTTTGCCTTCTCTAGGTTTAAAACCCAGGCTCAAGTCTATGGCAGCCAGCTTCCGTATCACTAAAATATTTGTTTGTGTACTGCTCTGATACTTGAAATCAGTATGTCCAAAACAAATTATTTAACTACATTGATTGAGAATATTCTAGTTGCTATATTTCTAAACAAGATTTACTGGAGTTGTTGTTTTGTGTCCTTTCAGTTGTCTTTTTTTCCTAAGAAAATTGATTCACATTTTGATGTAAATCCTTTTTCCATTTTAAAGAATAGGTTTTTAAAATAGACTTTTAAAATGGTCTTTAAAATGTTAACCCTTTTTCCATTTTAAATAATATTCTTTTTGCAATATTTAACCCATTAGTATTCAAGAGAATGAAGTAATATTCTCTCTAATTTTTTTTTTTTATAGCTGATTAATGTTAAAGTGTCTTTGAGTAAATAATTATGGTATTAGTTGTTGTGAATAAAGTCTACTTAAAAAGTGCCATGGGCAAAGATTGCAACCCTGGCAATCTGCAAAATGCTATCATCGTAGAGGTCCAGTCTCTTAAAATAGATCCCCAGTTTTTAGCAATTCAGCAAAGATAACCAGACAATCAAACATATATGCAGCTGGTCAGGTCTATGTTCAGGCTATTATCACAGTTCCTGTAGGTTTTCCTACCCTCTTTGCTACTTTTCAATCCTGCGATTTCTGTGTCCAGATATTAGTTAAAATATTAACATGTATAATATCACCATGGGTGTTATAGGTGATGTTTTACAGTTTGCTGTGAGTGCTGGAAGTGTGCTGTTATAGTGACAAATCAGTGCCTGGCTATGTATTTTCACAGCTGAGGGACCATGTTAGATGGGAGATGCAGAACACTGGTTGTTTCACTCCATGTCTAATTCTTAGCAATGGCTATTTATTAATCCTAAGAGGCAATTTGTCCAGAAGGACTGCTAATTCGTTTTGGCATTTTGCATCAGTTCACAAAAAGCATTATTTCACTTTTGCGATTGTTGCCACCAAATATTATTGCCCTGTATTGTATTTAAAGAAATTAGATAATGAAGAATCTGCATGAATGTATGTATGTTTCTCGCATTGGGATAAAACAACGGTACCTAGAGCGATAAAATTTGAGTAATGTGATCTTCCGAAATTTGTTTTATTATCTATATCATATTTTATAACACTTCAATGAATTTTTTATTAACAGACTAAATAATTTCAAAGTGAGCAATGGCAACACTGTACCGGGAGGGATGGGAGATTTCCAGCAAGCGAAACTCTGCATCAGAAATTCTAAAGATATGCTCATTTTAAAATTATTTTGTGATATTGCTGTTGAAGTGAATTTTATGCTTTAAGTGCGAAGAACATGATATGTAATAAATGTAGGTAACACACAAAATGTTAAAAAAATGCTCCTTTATATGTAATTTAAAATCTGAAACCTTTCAGATTTTTCTTTTTAATAATTTTTTTGCGACCTCCGTGAAGTTATGTGATTTGTGTGCCTGACAAAAAGTGCATTAAGTCATTAACTTTGCATATGAATATTACATATGGATTTTATGAATAGGACCAAGTGTTAAAAAATATTTCTTTAGGTGAGAAGTATGCAATAAGGAATGTACTTCTCACTCGTATCAGTACCAAATAAATGTTCTAACAGTTATTCTGATACTGATGGCTTTATAAAATTAAACAAACTCTTCTGATGACTGATGATGATTATTTGGCCACATAAAATTTCCTTGTAGTAAGTCATCATTTTTAGTCTTTGTGTTGCTGCTAGAATGGATTTTTCACCCATTTTGAATTGAGCCTAGATCTTTCAGATGTGCAATTGTGTTCTAACTTTGTCAAGTCAGTATCAATCTTCTCTTAATGTTGTATTTTTTGTTGTATGGTCAGGCAGCTCATTTACCTTTTCACTTGAATGATGTCTGAATCCAGTACACTTCAACTTCCCAACTGATGTTATTGGTTGTTCCTTTTTAAAGAAGTAATATTGTAGAATTTTTAACCCAAATAACATATATAAATAACACCTGAGGCACATAAAACTGATGTAATGAAGCACATTACTTCTTTGAAAAACAATAGAAAATTCTCAACAAATCTGTCTTGCAATAGAATGAAATTATGTTTAAAAATAAATGAAAGTATAAGTCAATTTGAATTGAAACTTTCTGTATTTGTTGCTTGGCATACATCCATACTCTCGGAATTTACATTTATGCGGGGTAAAATGTGCAACATTTATAAAGGAAGTAATTTCACTTAGATTGCTTAAGGATTAAGTAATATGTGTTTTCTCCAATATTGGATGAGTCTAAAAATGTTTCTTGTTGAAGCCATCTGTGCTTATATGTACATACTTTATTATAAAGGTTTTTATGGATGATTGTGAAATTTTTAGTTCAATGAAATATTTGTGAGACCAGATATTTATATTACTGTACTGTGGCAACATATATTCTGTAAACATGTTATATGGGAATGAGAAAAATGTTACACAATTTAAATAGAAACAAAACCACATCTTTTATACTCTTCTTCAAATAAATGCACATAAAAAGTGTGCATTATAAAAAGTGTTGAAATTATTATTCATTATAAAAAGTGTTAAAACTTTATTTAGGCAATGGAAAATTTTATTTATGTCTAAATATATACTACTTTGAGTCAAAATTAGAGCTCCCACGCCCTAAAAATTGTCCTTTCAAAAATTTGAAGTTCCAAAATAGTTGCAAATGCTAAGTGGAACTTTAAAAAGTTATTGATACATCTTATTGGAATTCCTGTCAAGGGATGAAACTGAAAAGGGTAGTGTATGATGAAGTTCCAAAGAGATAAATAATCTCTAGTCTATTTGTAAACATTCTAACACTTATTTCTTGAAGGTGGATGAGAATTTTTTTGAATAGAAGTTTTTAAAGTCTGGTGTTTCTGGAGTTTGGAGGGAAAGAATTTTGGAGTCATTTGGTACAAAAGAATTAAGCTGACCTTTTTTTCCTTTTCTTTTAAAATTTATTTCTTTTAAAATTTATTTATTTAAGACATTTTTTATATTCAGCAAAGATATTTCCATATGGAATATTCAGTTATTTCATTTTTATTAGATATGGAGGCAGACACATGGGTAAAGCTTCTTGTTCAAGAATCACTAGTTCCACAGCCTGGATTTGCCACTGGTGAACCTGATGTATTAAGTCCTGGCATCCAGAAAGAATTACAAGGTAATTGGTGCTTAATTTAAATGTTGTAATTATTAATGGGCAACAATTCTTGCTGTTGACACATAGAAATAAATATTGCATTTTTCACTGTATATGTAACATTTTACTGCAACTAATAATAACATCATAAGTATTTTGCAAATCATGGAAGTGCATATTGAATAAGAAAGAGGCAACTATGAGCTCCATCCAACTAATTATGAGTAGCAATGGAATGCATGAAAAAACAAGATAGTTGCCAACAGAAGCATGGTATATTATAATATACTGATGATTATTTTAATTTCCTTTTTGTATATTCTCTATTTTGCTAGAAAATGTATTCATGTTCCTGTCCTTTAACCAGTAAATACCTTAAATGCTATTTAGTTTTTCCTTTATTTGTATTTCATATGTTAATTTATTATGCTTAAAATCAAAATAGTTACCATATTTTCTGGTGTATAACACACATCTATAATTTCAAGCTATGTATATTTGCCGTATAACGCACACCCAGTTCTTCAAGAAGAAACTCAAAAGATACATGTGCACTCTTATTTTTTGAGGTCACTAATTCAAAGATTTGTCCTAGCCTTTTGAACAATGGTATACTGAATAGACAAGAAATAAAGGGAACAATATGTTGTGTGGGGTTAAATGCTTGAGGGGGTAAATATTCCTGGAAAGAATATTTACTCCCTCAAGCTTTTGTTTTCACATTGAAAACAACTAATTGTTTTTAATGGGATGTCCAAAAGAATGCTGTTGTAGGGTTTTAAGAAAAGGGAGTAACTTTGGAGTAAGAATGCACTTCCAACCTGAAAGAATTCCTGAAATTAGGAGTTAGATGTTTTCTCATTATATAGTCTTTTTAGAACGAATTAGACAGTTTTTGGATATTGCAAACCATTAATAGATTTTGTAGAGAAATTTGAAGAAGTGGTAATAAATGAAATCATATAACAGACGTTTTTCATTGCAATGACAATGCTCCAATCATCCATCAATTAACAGTCCTGCAAAATCTGTAGTGTAGTTCTAGGTCCAGAAAATACCACTAGCAATAGTGAAGAAAGTGACAGAGAGGTTATTGAAAACGAAAAAAATTCAATTGACAAGTTAGTCGAAATTCTTGACGCAATAATTACAGAACTTGAACAATGGAGCTTTATGACTGAACAAGAAATTATATATGTCTACAGAATTAAAGAGAAAGTATTCGTATAAAAAACAAAGCAACTTAAGCAACGACGAGTCTGGAACTTTGCACTGTACTTTGTTATTTGCACAAAACAAGGTGATTTTGGGCATCTAAAAGCACTTGGTTTTCCTGTAGATTACATATAAAAGGAAACCAAAGTAGTTTCATCAGTAAGAAATTATTGCATGCTTCTGCTTCGCGAGTGAGAGCATGTGTCCTAAAACATTGTGTTCCAGTTCTCCAATGAGCTTCAAGCACCATTGCGTGTCATCTAGCATATATTAGTCAATGAGCACAAAACAAGATCGAGGTTGTTATTTCGGTCATTTTGTGGCTGAGTGGTGCGAGTGCACATGCTTTCAAGAAATAGTTTAAAAAATTATGATCTTTTGATTTAGTTATGTCTGCGAAAAAGATAAAATACTAATGTATTTTTCAAAAATCGTACGCAGATGATTTTCCTTCTATTATTTCCTCAAAGAAACAATACATTTGGAATGTGTACCACCTTTTTTTATTGCGATTTTTCGATTTCACATGGTGAAAGGACCAATGTTCTCAAACATGTGCATTGACAAAAACACAAGAAGACATGAGTTCTACTGAAAACAAAAGGAAAAATTAAATTTTTTCTGTGTGTGTGTGGGGGGGGGGAAGGTCCAAAATGTTGTTAATGCAGAATGCCAGTTCTCTGCCTTTTTACTGGAATAAAATGTGCCACTGAATGCAAGGGATCATGCTCCAGCTTTATTTAGAAAAATATTTTCTGATGGCAAAATTGCTAAGAAATACTCCAGTGCAAGGAACAAAAGTCTGCAACTGTTAATAAAATGGGTATGAAAAATAAATCCAGTTATTGATTGCATTAAAACAGTTCCATTCTGCCTCCCTACAGATGAAAGCAGTAATACCGATTCAATCCAGTTGCTGTTTCTTTTTTTAATCCACTGTCTTTAGAAATTGAGTCTTGTTTACTTTCTGTACCCACTTTAGAAAGACATTCTACAGGCTTTAATATATCACGGCTAATTATCAAAACTAAAAAAAAAAAAAAAAAAAAATGCAATTCCTCTGGACAAGTGCGTTTGAATAGTGCACCACTAATGTTAGGCTTGTACACTGGTTTGGTTCATCAGTGGCTTTGCTAATTTTTAAAACAATCTTTCTATTATTATTTTATCAATTATTATAATTGATTTTAGTTCTGATTTAAAAATGTGCACTGTACATAGAAATCAGTAACTCACTGTGTACTGATTTATTTGGAGCTTTTGTATAAGTTATCTCTTTTACGTTGTTGCATATTTTATTCATAATTGTGCATAACCTGTCTAAAGTTTGAATGTCATCCTAAATACAAAAATGAAAAATATACATCAATAATATTACTTGCATATTAATTTGGCAGCTTCAAAGTCATCAACTACCAACTGATGATAAACAATCTGTTTTAAGTCTGCAAAGATATTTAGTGCCAATAAGAAATAATAAAAAAGGTGGCTTGATAAACCAAGTAACAAATTTGACCATCAAGTGTTTGTTATAAAGAATATTATTATTAGAATGACCAGAAAACTTAAAATATTTCCCAACTTTTTCAATTACCTACTGAGTATCTTGTATATTTAATGAATATAAAAATACATAAAATATTTTTAAGCTTACTATAATCACTGGGAGTAAGGTGAGAAAGCACTAAGTGCAACGGATAGTCATGGCAGAAGAAAATGGGGCGCATTACTTTTGGAACAGACCTTGTATTCTAATAATATATTATTATGGAAATATTTATGAAAACTGTTGTTATAGCACATTGTTCATAAATGTTGCTATGGAAGAAAACTGCATATTCTTGTACTATGAAATAAGTTGTTGGTGCACAACATTCAGCTGAAATAATTTTCTTAAGCTGTGTCGGCTGTATCTTTTAATTTGAAGAGAAGGTTGTGTACTCTGCTTACAACTTCAAAATAGAAATGGCAAGTTGTATGGACTGAGAGCATGCTGTGGTGAAACAGAGTACATGGTGTTTCAAAATATTCTAAGATCTATAAATCGACATCAATCACTTTAAAATGTAACTTTTAATATGTACAATATTTACAGATCATTAATCAAACATGGTGGTTCAGTTTACAAACAAATCTATATGCTTTCATAATCGAAAATCGAAATCTTTTAAATAGGAACCGAAGTGTTCCTAATCAAATAGTGTGCGAACCATCAGACATCCATCTATCGAACTGCCGGTGGAGAGTCTATGGAAATTCAGAAGGCACGTCGCGTCGCGTTAACACGCAACGCTAGCGCCATCTATCAATTAATCAAAATAATTTCCACACACTCCCCACCTGAACTTTGTCAAGAGTTCACATTAATCTAACAACAATCAAATTTATATCAATAAGTATTTTAACATATAATTTTATATGATAAGTATATTAAATGAATAGAAAATATATTCAAACTATAATCACTATACTAAATTCTAAAAAAGGTATGTTATCATCAAATACAATTTGATACTACTTCAGTAAATCTAGACTACTATGAATCTAAGCATATGAAACTAAATTAGCAAAATAAACAATTGCATAAAACATATTCAAACATATTCATATTATTAAACGATAAAAAAAAATTTCAAAGTTCCAAAGGATATAATAATTGAACTGGTCGTTTTATTATTGTTCCATCAGCAGTTTTTAGTTCACAAGAACGAACTTTGTTCATGACCACCACGAAAAACGTTTATCACTCTACCACAATTCCACAAAAGTTTGCACTTATTGTTGCCTTCAATTAATACAAGATCATCAACTTTAAGATCATCATAAACGTTAGGATTTTTTTAATTGATGAGCTGTCCGAAGATCCATCAAATATTGTTTTTTCCATTTAGTCCACAATTGCCTAACCAATAAATCTTGATAAATCTTTCTTTTGGTCAGAGAGGACTTGGTAGAGCCATCTTTAACAATGGAATTAAAGTTGATAGGTAATGTAGAATCTTTGTTTCCAAAAATAAAAAAAATTGACTGGCTTCAGTGGCAACGGTTCCTTGTGGTCATTGTATACATATGTCAAAGGACGAGAATTCAAAACAGCTTCCACTTGTGCTAAAACCGTTGACAATTCTTCAAACGTTAGTAAAGCTTTACCGAGAATTTTTCGTAAGCACTCTTTCACTGATTTTACTAATCTCTCGTAGAAGCCTCCTCACCAAGCCCCTCGTTCTATTATAAACTTCCAACTGATTCTTTCATTCGACAGAAAATCTTGGAATTTCTCATTCGACAATAGTTTAGAGAAATGTTCGAGTTCCTTTTTTCCCTTTTTAAAAGTTTTCGCGTTGTCCGAATAAATTACTCGACAATTGCCTCTCCTAGATGTGAATCTTTTGAATGCCATCAAGAAAGAATCTGTAGAGAGATTCGGTACAAGTTCCAGATGTATGGCTCTAGTGATAGCGCATGTAAATAATGTACATAGGCTTTTTGACTTCCTTCGATGTTTTTTACGTAAATCGGTCCAGCAAAATCGATGCCAGACACGTAGAATGGTGGTGTCCCATTGATTCTGTCTCGTGGAAGTTGAGAAGTGGTCTGGTCAGCAGACTTCAATGAATATCTTTTACAAATAAGACACTTGTTTATTATTTTCTTGATCCGTTTGGGATCCAAAAGCGACTTCGAATTTCAGCTAAGGTCGTTGCTACTCCTCCATGCATCATTTTAACAAGTGCACTTTCTACTATCAAATTCATCAGCCAGGATTCTCTAGAAAGAATTGCCGGATGTTTTTTCATCATGTGACA